ATTAGTAATTATGTAATAATAATTAGTACTAAGCTTGACTTACTACCAATAATTGCAGTGAGGAATTAAGTATCTTTTAAACATGGTTAATATACACAGTAATAATATTTTTTCTGGTTTATAATCTTTTTGAACTATGCTTCTAAAAATTTGCCTAAATGTAAATGATATGTTTGATCTTTCTTTTTTTTAGCCTGAAAGCACTTTACTTATTATCTGTGAGAATGGCTATGTTCTTGAAGCTCCACTTCCCACCATAAAGGAAGAGGATGATAACAAAGTAGTCTCCTATGAAATCAAAGACATGTGCATAAAATGTTTCCATTTCTCAAGTATCAAATCTCACATTCTGGTATGGAATATTCTTGAAGCATTATCTTCTAATATTTTTCTTTCTTTAGAATATAAAATATCCTGTGTTAAATGTTGGGAAATACAAAGAAGAATAAAACATAGACCTTAAGGAGTTTATAATCTGGTAGGAAAGCAGCTAACAAGAAAGCAGTAGTGAATAGATAACTGAAATTAAAATGCAAGGTAAGGAATTTTAGGGGCATGCACAGGAAAGGACAGATGACTGATGGAGGGTTGGGAGGAGGTCAAAGATGACTGCATGGAAGTTACATTTAGGACTTAATGAATAGGAGGAATTTTGACAGGGTGAGAATGGGGAGGATGATAACAAAGACTGGAAGAACATCGTGAGGGAAGGCAGGGTTGTGAGAGTTTCAGTGTTTTTTCAGGAAATGAAGACTGGACTGGTGAAATAGAGAGATGCAATTTGTGGAGGGGCGTAGCAAGAGTATGTGACCAGGGCATGGGCCCCCTTAACTGCCAGCCAAGACATTTCAGTTTAGACCATTGGGATCCATTGGCAGTTTTTGAGGAGGGGGTTGATGTGATGAGATCATATAAATTAGAAAGATAATTCTGAGGGGTAAACAAAATGAAGAGGTGAAAGATAGGCAGCATGAATGTTAGTGCTAGGGGCTTTTGCAATGGACGGTTGATAGATGACTGGGGTCTAAATTACAGTGTTACTAAAGTTGGAGAAACTTTACTTGTGGACTATTTCAGTCCACCTAACTCCTGGGTTGACCGTGGTAGACTCTGAGAGAAACTGTACTTAGCTTCTCTACTAAGGAAAAAAATGACCAAATAATTTCTATAAGATGAGTATTGATGGGGGTAAAATCAAAATGACAGTCATTCTGATGATTTGAAAGTTTTGATGATAACGTATATCCTCACAGTGATAATTATTTTCACATGTTATTATTTGTTACCTTAGAGCTGTGAGTTTTTCTAGAACCCTGTTTTCCTTCTACTTTCTTTGTCATCCCCAATAGTGTAAATGAATGAATGTTATGGTTGTTTTTATGTCTACTTAATGTCTCTTTTTAAAGAGATTAATAGAAATTGAAAAGAGAGAGCAACAGAAGAAGTTGAAGGAGAAGGAAAGGGAGGAAAAGAGGAGGGCGCTAGCAGAAGAGATGGGAGAAGATGGAGAAAAAGAATTCCAGGAGGAGGCAGTGGCGGAGGAAGAGGAGGAGCCATTGCCGGCAATCTTTATTCCACCAACCCCCTCTCCCATCCTCTGTGGGTTTTACTCTGAGCCAGGGAAGTTCTGGGTTTCTCTGGTGAGTAATAAGCAATCACTTTTACCTCAGCCCTATTCTAATATAATTTATAGTCTTTATCTGTCACCACATTCTTTCTAACCGTGATGTTAAGACTTCATTTATTATTATCGATGATGTGAGTTTTGATGAGTGGATGTGAATTACAGTTGCTTTTATATTATCTTAACATCTCCTCTGTGTGTCTACTTGTGCTAGTATCATTTTGACAATCATAAATGTTCCAGCCAGGTCAATGGGGAGAAGGATCAAGTATAGAAGGGCAAAGGTGAAGGGGTTTTCCAGCTGAGATTGTTGTTTTTTAATTTTGAAAATAATAGCTTTCATGGCAGTATTATCCAGTAGACTTTTGCTTACATCTCAATCTGCAACTGTGCTGTGTGGCCATATGGAAGTCTAGGAAGGTAAGTGTTCTTAGGTGGTCTCACTGCCACCCTGAGCCTGAAGGAAGAAGGGGAAATGGAAATTAGAAATGCAAATACCAGGGATGTCACAATGTTGTATGAATACATCTTTCAGTTATATACTTTCTACTCTTATCATGAAACATTTTATCAATCTATTGCAAAGCAAGATTTTCTTTGTTATAAATTTGTCACAATTTTCAGTTCCATCCACAAAAAACCCATAATTTCTCATAGACGTGTATGTGGAAGATCATTACTAATGCATAACTGGTCCCAGGTTTTTGGCGAGGCCAGGACAATGACTAACCAAGGACTGTTGCTGTAAGGAATGATGAGGGTGGACTCTTCCCCTCTTCAACTTTTCCTAGAAATGTATCTTTTTTAGCAACTTCTAAGGAGGCAAGCAGAAAGAAGGATGGAATACAGTGTTGGAGGCACCGTAGGACTCATTTATTAGTTCCTATACCCTTTCTATTTGTCTTCTGTGTTTTATGAAACAATTATTAATGATGACTATCATGTGGAATTCAAGGGGTGAAGGGTTAAATAAGACATGGTTTCTGCCTTCAGGAAGTTTCCTAATGAGGGAAGGAGGCACAGAAACAATTAACTGTAATGCAATGTAATAGATTTTGAGTGTCCCGGAAACAGATGCAAAAATTATTCATTGTGTAACAAATACATTTAGTGCTTGCATTTAGGTTTGCCAAATAAATATTACAAGGGACATATTTACACTAAAAAATTATTTTTTGTGTATCTGAAATTTGAATTTGGTGGAGTATCCTGTGTATGTATTTGCTAAATACGGTAACCTACTTATTCTGTACCAGGTACTATCCTAAGTAATTTACTTAACCAACCTATAAAATAAAGCTGTTATTATTGCATTTAACATATGAAGAAACCAAGGCATGTAGATGTTAAGTAACTTATCCAAGGTCATGTAACTAATGAGAAGTGAAACAAGGATCTGGACTCAGGCAGTCTGGGTCCAGAGTCCGTACTCTTAACCATTAAGCTACACCAGTGAACAAGGTTAAAGCATAGCTCACAGAGGTAGTAATGCCAACCCTGCTTGATCCAAAGATTTGCCAACTCTGTGCCTGCAGCCAAGCAGATGCTGTAGAAAAACCAGTCTTATTTTGAAGTCATGACTACAGTTCTCAAATCAGCACTCACTCTACAGGCCAATTCTACTGCCCAGCCATATCCACTTTTGAAATTACTGCTTTTATTCTTTCTTCTTCACTAAAATATTTTGTTCCTTCCCTTACTCTACAATCATAACCTCCTCTCAAATTTCACAGAGAAAATAAAAGCAATCAGATAGAATTTTCTTTTCTTGTCTCAATTAGATCTAATACTCTACAGGGATCTATATATATTTTGTCTGCTTTGCCTATTGTTATAGTTGGTGAATGGTTCCTTGCAACTTTACAAGGACACTGTTCCTGATGGTTTCTTGATCTCATCCCTCTTTACTTTCTAAAAAATTTTTCTTTTGAGATAAACCACTTGGTCTCCTGTATCTTCTCTCTTTTTTATTCAGTTCTTATCATGACCATATAACATGCTCTAGTACTTATCTAGATTTTCTTTCCTTCCCCTCCACTGCTCCTTTACAGAAAAACTTCTTGAAAGAGTCATCTGTAGGCTGGTTTCACTTCTTCACCTTCTATTTGGTTTTCAACCCATTCCAGTCGGGCTTCTCTCTCTATCACTTCACTTCGCCAATGATTTCTCTACTGACAAGTTCAGTGGTCACTTCTCTGTCCATATGACTTTTCAGAAGCATTTGATGGAGTTGGCCTTCCATTCTTCTCTTGGCTTTTAAGACATCACACTCTCCTGGCTACTCCTTTTCAGCCTCTATTGCTGGCTTCTCATTTGTAGAATAAGCTGTGAAGTTTGAAGTACTCCAGAGTGTGGTTTTGGGCCCCCTCTTTCTTGTTAAGGTAACTTTACTTTAGTCTCGTGGCTTTAACTATCATTTATCTGCCAATGAATTTCAAATATTTATGTCTAGTCCTGACCTCTCCCCTCAACTTCAGACTCATATATACAACTTGACAACTCTACTTGGCACCTCAAAATTAACATGTCCAAAACATAACTTTTAAACCATACTTGCCCCATGCAAACCTGCTCCATCTCCATCTTAGTAAGTGAGACCATCATCCTTCAGTTACTAGGCTAAAACCTCAAGAGTTATTAAGGATTCTTCTATTTCCTTTACCTTTTGATACCCTTATATTGAAAGTATGTCTCTTGTAAACAGCAAATGTTTAGACTTTTTTTTCATCCTATAGGATGATCTTTGTCTTTTAATAAAGTATTAATACTATGTCCATTCACATTTAATGTAATTACTAATATATTTTCATTTAAATCTATCATTTTACTAATTATTTCTGTTTGTTACACCATTGTATATTTCTTTATTCTCCTTTTTTACCTTCTATTTTGATAGCTTTCTGATGCCTTCAACACATTTAAAAAAATTTTTTTTTCT